GATAGAAAAATTTGGAGATTTTCCTGAGAAAGAAGATGGTGGAGGGGTATGGGAGACATGTTGAGTATATTATATATTTTGCATTAAAATGTCCTTATACAACCCAGTACCATGAGCAGTGAATATATACTAATAAAAATTATCAATAAAGCCTACAAAAAACTCTACAAGTTTTTATTGCTGTGAAGAGACACCATGATTCCAGTAACTCTTATAAAGGAAAACATTTAATTGGGGCTGGCTTACAGTTTCAGAGGTTTAGTCCATTATCCTCATGGTGGGAAGCATTGTGGGGTACAGACAGAAAAGGAGAAGGAACTGAGAGTTCTACATCTTGATCAGCAGGCAGCAGGAAGAGAATGAGACACACTAGACCTGGCTTGAGCTTCTGAGACCTCAAAGCCTGTGCTCAGTGACACACTTCCTCCAACAATGTCACACCTACTCCAACAAGGCCACATCTCCCAATAGTGCCAGTCCCTATGAGCCCATGGGTCCATTTTCATTCAAACTATCACATACACATAAAATAAAATTTAAAAAATGAGAATTAAAAAGCCCTGACATGACATTATGAGACAATGAACTTTCTAAGACGCTGCTGAGTTCATTTTCTGCTGGCTGTCTACTGCTGGGCCATGGTAGTAGTTTGTTTTCCTAGTGAGACTCCCTTGGAGAAAACTAAATTTTCATTTGCAAGTGGTTCTCAATTAGAGATGGCTTCTGGGTTAGGGATGGGAACATGTGTCCACTTCTTTCAGCTCTAGGACCCCATCTGGTGCACATCTGTAGAGGCCCTGTGCATGCAGCCTCGGTCTCTGTGAGTTCCTATGTGCTCACATTGATCTTGTAGATTTAAAGGGCCTTGTTTCCTTGGTGTCCTCCATCCCTTCTGGCTCTTAACCTCTTTCCCACCTCCTCTTCTACAGGGTTCCCTGGGCCCTGCGGAGAGGGATTTGATGGAGACAACCATTTAGGGCTGAGTGTTACAAAGGTCTCTTACTCTCTGCATATTGTCTGGCTGTGGGTCTCTGTATATTGGAACTGGGATTAAGTTTGTAATTAGGGAAAAACTATCTTTTCCTTGGTAATATTCTTTTCTCTGAAATTTCTGTCCTCTGATATTACAGCAACTCCAGCTTTTCTTTAATTAGTGTTCATGTGGGATAATCTTCAATTCCTTTCCCCTTAACGTATCTATATTTTTATATGTGAAGTATGGTTTTTATCCATAAGCCTTTCCTATTTGCAAGTTTTCTTTCCACCATTTCAGTTACCCATGGTCAACTATTCTCTGAAAATATTAAATGGAAATTTCCAGAAATAGCTCACATGTCTTAAATAACTTTTATTACAGTGCACTGTTATACAGTCATTCCATTTTATTAGCTACTGCCGTTAATATCTTCCTTTGCTTAATATATAAATCCAACTTTACTATAGATAAGCCTGTGTAGGAAGAAACCCAGTATATCAAGTTTGATGTGATCTTCAGCTTTAGGCATCCACTGGTGGTCTTGGAACACATCTCCCCGAAGAGGAGGGGGCAGGGTGACTGTAGACAGCAGAGACCTGCTTATTTTACTGGGTGGTAATCTGAAAAGTATGAGATGCCACTAGTCTGTATTTAAACTGATTATTGATATCGTCAGGTTTTGAGGTCTCATCTTGTTTTCTGTCTGTCCCACCTGCTTCTGTCCCCTCTTTAATCTTTTGAATTAACTGAGCATATCTGGCTGTATACTACTTCCTTTGTACTTACTAACCAGAGTTGTCTGTTCTCATCTTTTGGGGCTTAGGGCAGGGATAATGGCTCAATCTACGAAGTGCTTGTCTTCAAGCATGAGGACCTGAGTTTAATCCTCAGACCCCATGCAAAACAAAAGAAAACAAACAACAAACAAAAGACTGGGCATGGTTTTATGTGGACTCATAATCTAGTGCTGGGGTGGCAAAGACAGGTAAAACTCCGGGTGTTGTAGAATATTATTTTAAGATGTGTTATGTTTGTTTATGCTGTGAAACATTTGCTTTAATGATGCAAAGATGTGTTATATTCTTTTATGTTGCATTTGTTTAACTCTGTGAAGCTGTGTTATTTTGCCTGTCTAAAACACATACCTGATTGCTCTAATAAAGAGATGAACTGCAAATAGCTTAGCAGGAAAGGACAGATGGGGCTGCCGGGCAGAGAGAATAAATGGGAGGAGAAATCTGGGAGGAGAAGAAGGAGCAAGAGAAGAAGTAGAGGAGGATGTTAGGGACCAGCCACCCAGCCAGCCACGGAGTAAGAGTGAAACTAAGATATATAGAAGAAAAGTTAAAAGTCCAGAGGCAAAAGGTAGACGGGATAATTTAAGTTAAGAAAAGCTGGCTAGAAATAAGCCAAGCTAAGGCCGGGCATTCATAAGTAAGAATAAGCCTGTGTGTGTGATTTACTTGGGAGCTGGGTGGCGGGTCCCACAAAAGAGTAAGAGCAAAAGTAAAGACAACCAACAACACCTGGAGTTTATTAACCATTTAAGGTAGCCAGATTGCTTACCAAGCTCCAGGCTGGTGACTGAGCCTGTCTCAAAAACATGGGGGGGAGGACCTAAGGAACACCATCTGAGGTTGTCTTATCTCCACAGATGCACACATGTGCACACAAGAACATGTATGCACACACACAAATATTTGGGGGTTTAAATGCTTATCTTTAAGGTATCAGAGTCTGTCTTTGAGTACCACTGAAGTATTTCACAGGCAGAATACTTGCATTTTGCCCCTCTCCTAAGTGCATTAATGCTGTCCTAAACTTCTCCAGGCTAGAAACCCACAATATTGAATTTTCACTTAAACTGCCAACCTCCCTTAAAAGACATTTAAACGTTAAAAAGCTTCTATCTCACACCATCTTACTGCATGATGCTCATGTGGTCACTGTTTCTAACTCTCTGCAGTCCCTCAGGGGAGCCCCCATTCCTAGCTGTCAATCCCCTGCCCAGGGGAATTAGGAGTATGGCTTTTGAAGTACAGGTTTGCTGGTAGCGAGGCCTCCCAGCCTCTGTGTCTGCACAAACACCATCACTTTGGTTTTATTTTCCAAAGGTATTTCTGCTGGATATATAGTTGGCTACAGAACTCTGGACCAGAGGGCCTTTCGTTTTTGTCCTTTAAGGAAGTCATTGTACTGGATTCTTCCAGTGAATTCAGTAACAAGGCAGCTGCTGTCACCCTTATTTTTGTTCTTTTTGTGGTTGCTTTTAAGATTTTTGTCTTCCTTCTGGTTTTGAGAAATCTCATGGTCACATCCCTTGGACTGTTTCCTTCCTGCTTGTTAAGCTCGGCTTTGCTGGGCTCCTTGGACCTATGGGCTGTTCCCATCAAATCTGGACACATTTCAGCTGCGACTTCTGCAAACATTTTTCCTCCTCTCTTTTTGAATTTTCCTTTTGAGAGTCCAGTGACAGGTGTAAGCTTGAAGTTGTCACGCGGATCATGGTTACTCCTGCTTTAAAATGATTTTTTCTCTCTGCATTTTCTTTTGGCTGGTCCCCCTGCCTTAGCTCCCTCTCCTTTGTCTTTTCTGTAGTGTTTGATGTGTTACTCACACTAACAGGTGTCTTTTCACCTCACACATTTTCCTCATCTCTAGAGTTTGATTTGGGCCCTTTTTAACGCTTCCTATGCTTTTATTTAAACACTGAACATATGGCACATAAGTATCGATTATCATCATCTCTGTTAATTCTAACATCTGCTTCAGCCTTTGCTGCTTCTGGTTTGGTTTCAATGACTGATTTATCTACTTTTTTATGATTATGGATGTTGGTTCTATACCTTTTGGTCACAGAATTCCAAACGGCCCTTCAAAGTTGTTTCACAGTTGATGGGATCACTACCAGAACACAAGGGTCCACTTCCTCCCTAGGCTGCTAGTGCTGGGCTCTGCCAGTCTTTAACCTTTAACCTTTGCCAATCTCGTAAGCTGAGACTACTGACGCCTACAACTGATGTTTACTGGGAAGCAGCCACCAGCCCAGTGACAGGTGGTGGTCATTTGGTGGCACTACTGCAGCCACAGTTACTGCCCTCATGACACCTATAACCTGACCATGTTCCTCATGTTTTTATTCACATTTTCATTGTTTCCTAGTGACCTCGAGTATCTAGCCTCAAGTTTATTGGCCATTTACAGTTCTTTGGTATACTGCCTACTAATGCCTACAACACAATTTTAACGGCATTGTTTGTATTTCAAAAAAATTCCTTTGTAAAAACCATTTATTTGTATGAGTAGACATACATGATCATTTGTTCAGTAATAAAAGTATGTTTTGTAAACAAAGTCATTTTCTATAAAAAAAAGAAGCCAACATTTGTGTATGATTTCTGTGAAGAAATGACTGACATGTTATTCAAATACCTTTTTTCTATATTAAAAATAAATAGGAATTGATTCTGGTGTAAAAATGCCTTTAAAGGCAAAATTTTGGACAACACAATAATAGAAAACACATTTATGAAAACATAAAGCAGACATAAAATAAATTTATGAATACATAAAGCAGTGTGTTATAGGGAAAGATCTATTCTTCAGAAAGAGAAATGTCAATTCCCATTACTGAACATTGGTTTACTTGCTGTAGGTAGCAGAACCTTTCAAAAGCACATGTTATCTATTCTCGGCTGTATAGGTAAATGTGGAGAGCATCCAGGAGGCCCTGGGTGCGGCACAGTTTCCCTAACTGTCCCTTCCCCGTGTCTTCACAGTATTCATGGACAAAGTTAGGTGGGCGAGGAGGAGGGACTGAGAGACATATCAACTCTACGGCCAGGGATGGACTTGCACACGCCACACAGCTAAGGGGTGTGAGTCCTCTGCTCAGGTTGGAGGAAATGTAGCCTCCAACTTAAGTGGAGAATGAACCAACCAAGCAGTCTAACTCACGGTGACAACGACACCATCAAACAAGCCCCAACCCGTCAGTTCTGCTGCACTTGCTTCTCTGACTCACCTGTTTGGTGGAGGTGGTCTCGGGCCACCTCAAACAAGCGCAAGTGCATGTTCGTGATGGGGTTGAAGGACCCACAGGCCAGGAGCACCACAGGGATTCGGCTCTTCATGCTGTCACACACATCCGCACCCACTGCAGTGGCCACCCTGCTTTAGAGGGACAAAAAAATCATGTCAGGAAGTCAGCATGGAGACAACTGTCTAGATCCGCATCTAAACCACACACAGCCATGACCAATCACTGCAAGATACAAAAGGAGGCAGTAACAGTAACATTTATGAAGAACTCACCATAGTCCCGGGACTGTGTCTAGTGTTACAAACCACAGTGTGACAAAAACCTTTTCTCCAAACCCTTCTGTCAGTCTCAAGTGTGTGGCTCGGGGACCTTAGGAACTGCTGGGCCAGGCCTGGCACCTAGGCAACCCAAACTCAGAGTCTATATTTCCTCTTCCTGACTTCTTCCCCAGGTTCTCTTGGTCTGAAGAAGATCTGCAAGATTCCCATGAAGTCATCTGTGACAGATTCCAGGGTGGAACTCTTGAAAACTTGTATTTTGAAATAATTTTAGACTTATAAAACGGTTGCAAAAAACTTTTGGGTAGACAACTATGATATACTCTTTACCCGTATTTCCCCAGTACTAACGTTTTGCCACACATTTGAACATTCCTTCCTTCCCTGTTCACACACACCACTACAAGTAAGTTTTTCCCAAAATGTTTGCAGGGAGTTTGTAGACAGAGTATCTCTTTAGACATGCAAACACGTCAGCATGATTTCTGAGCCATCCAACCTTATCTGGGACCTAAGGACTCTGAAAGGCCCAGGCCAGCCTCTAGCCTCCTACTCTGTGACTTTGGGCACTGAGGTGCGGTTAAAGGAGAGAAGAATGATCCTGGCCATGGGCTAGCTGCTGGTGGCTCTCTTGACTCCGCTATGCTGCCCTGGAGGTAGTAGTGAAGCGTCACTCAAGGCAGGCTGGGCTTTGACTAGCATTGTGCCTCTCTGTGAGACCAAAGACAAATCACAGTTCCCCTCTGAGCCTCAGTCTCCTCCCTTCCTCAACCACAGGAGCAGAGAATGAAGATAGCCATGCATCCGTGGCAGGCAGCTTTTCGAAGGCTCCCAACGATCTTTGTGCCTGGCATTTATTTGTAATCCTTTCTCTTTGAGTGTGGGCTGGAGCTAATAACTTGCTTCTAACAGACTACAGCTAACAGACAGGAAGGTCCCTCTGAGATAAGGTTACAGAAGGCCTCTCTAGCTTCCCTCTTGTTCATCTCTCTTACTCGTTTGCTCTCTGATGAAGCTGCTGCCCACTGTGAGCTGCCCACCGAGGGGCTGACTGGGCCAGGGACTGAGGGAGAGCTGTGGTCACCAAAGACCACAAGAAACCGTGTCTGTCAGTAACAACTATGTACGTGAGTGTGATGCAGAGCTGCCCGTGGTGAAACCATGTCTGTCCGTAACAACTGTGTACGTGAGTGTGATGCAGAGCTGCCCGTGGTGGTCAAGCTTCAGGTGAGACTACAGCCCTGTGCACACCTCCAAAACAAACTGTTTTTATGTTTTATGTCAATTTGACACAAGCTAGAGTCCCTGGGAGCCTCAATTGAGAAAATACCTCAATAAAATCAAGTTATAGGCAGGCCTGTGGGGCATTTTTTAAATTAGTGATTGATGTGAAAGGGCTCAGGCCATTGTGGGTGGTGCCACCCTGGGCTGGTGGTCCTGGGTTCTATAAGAAAGCAGGTTGGGCAAGCCATGAGGAGTAAGCCAGTAAGCAGCACCCATCCATGGTCTCTATATTAGCTCCTGCCTCCAGGTTTCTGCCCTGTTTGATTTCCTGTCCTGACTCCCTTCAAGGATGAACAGTGATGTGGAAGTGTAAGCCGAATAAACCCTTTCCTCCCCAATTTGCTTTGGTCCTGGTATTTCATCACAGCAATAGAAACCCAAACTGACACTCTGAGTCAGAAGATGTGATCAAACTATATCTAGACAGCTGACCCACAGATGCTGTGGGGCCATAAGCCATGATAATGAATAAATGAATAAATGCCTCGCATGTTGTTTGAAGCTGCTACATTTGGGGGGTGATGTGCTCTGCAGCAATAGTAACCGACAGTGGCCTGGCCCCAGGAGGCAGGCATTCACTCCTGTCTTGCTCCTCTTCCCATGGTGCCTTGACCACACTTAATGCAGTCCACAGGGAACAGAAAGGGTTCCTGGGACCTGAGGCCTGTGTGTAACCTGGGCCCTCCTGTCCACATTTCCAGGCCTGTATCCAAGCACAGCTTACCTGCTACTTTTTAAAATCTTAGCAACAGTGAACTTGACATTCCTGGGTTCTTTGTAAGATCCCCATGACACCTTCTTTAAAGTTTCAAGTTTCCAGATTGAAACTACTTCAGTTCCCACATGAGAACAGCCCCCAGCACACCTGTTAATGTTCAGCACCCAGGACTCTTCTCCCTGTTCAGTGAGGGTCTCCTAGAGAGCTGGAGGCGCATCTGACTCCTAACCTTGGAGGCTGAAACAAATGGAGGGCTGTTTGCTTCTCTCCGGACAGAAGGCTTAGAAGAAAGCACACATCTGGGTGATGGCGCTGCCTCCAGGGCTCAATGAGGACCTGCAGTTCTCTGGGCTTCTCCCTCAAGGTCACAAGCTTGCTGCTGCTGCAGCTACTGACATGGCCTCAGGTTGGTGCAGCCTACAGGAGCGAGGATTGGAATGGCTGTCCCTCTTATTCAGAACACAAGCTTTGTTTTTTTCTTTTAATTTCCTCGTAGATGTTTGCTTCTGTGTCCTTGGTCAGAACTAGGTCTCTAGATCTAGAACAGCTGCTCTAGCCATGAGGGAGGCTGGACAGGTATGAATTTGGCCTCATAGCCTTTCCAGTAGGAATCAGCAATGGGGTGGGGGGGTGGTTGGGATGGGATGAGCTAATCCACAGGGCTGGGCTGAGACAGAGCTGGGGTACAGCTGCCTGGTTGCTGAGAGGGCAGAAAGCCCTGGAGCTTGGCCAGCTGGTCTGGGATGTATCTTTAAGTCACAAGCCACATTACTGAAGAAAAAAGGCTTCCTGTGCTTCCTGCTCCATGGATGGTATGCCCTATGTGAACAGGAGCAGCCTTTTCATCTGTGGATCTCAGCTCCAAGCAGTGTGGCCTGCCATAGGGCTTGGTGGATGCTGAAGAAGGGGCTCTGTCAGCTAGCCAGGGACCTGCCTCTGGCCCTGAGAAGGCCTAGTGTGCCCTGCAATGCAGGGAAGTTGTTCCTGGATGTATCCTGAGCTACCAGTGAGGATGCAGCCTCACAGGCCAGATGTAGCACAGCTGGGTCCTCCAAACTTCCTTTAAGCAACAGGAACACCCGCTACTGTGTGCAAAGAACGCTGGCTACAGGCTGCTGCAGGCTTCTTCCTCTAGGGGTGGGGGCGTGAAGTGGCTTAATGAGATATGTGCAAAGTGTACCAGCTTACACAAGAGCAGCCTCATGATGAGGGTGTCTGGTAAAGAAAGCTTGTTTGTTTGTGTGTTAATCACAGCTATCTTGAAGCCTTTCTTTCAATATCTTACTTCATTTTGACAGAATATAAATATTTAGAACCACCAAAATGTAACCACAACATCTCAGGTATCCTGGGGTTTCGGTTCATTTTTCCAAAGGTAAATTAGAACAGCTGGTTTGAAAGGCGGCATCGATGGCGGAAGTGTGTCACGCTGAGAAGAACAAATGGCTTTGACTAAGGGCCTCTCTTCTTTTTTTTTTTCCCTTGCCATGGGCACAATTGCTTCAACAGTGACTCTGCTCTGCCCCATCTTGGATAGGAGGAAACAGCTAACACATGGCCAGCTGCACCCGACCCTGGCCGCCCGGCTGGCTTGGGAACAAGGTCAGTGCACACCCTTTTGGTGTGTGCCCTCTGGCTTCAGCTAAGCTCTCCCAAGCAAACCCAGAGAAAAGACAAGCATCAAGTCGAAATGACTCACTCCAGGGCTCGGATGAGAGGGCACACCTGGCTCTGGTTTGAGAGCAAGCCGCGGCAGGTGCATGTGACAGATCTACTACCCTCACTTCTGATGGTGTCTAGTAGGGTGAGGAAGCATGGGAGACCTCTCCGATTGGGAAAGACTGCTCATCAATAAGCACTCAGCGGAGGCCTGCAGAGTAAGCAATAATTGCTGCTGGAGGATTTAACACCTGAGGGTGCCTTCCTGGAATTCATCATTAACTGGAGACAGAGTGGATTCCACCTCTGCCCCCCTTTCCCTCTCCAGCTATGGCCTCCCACCTCATAGTCAGCTCCAGAGTGATTCATCTGCCTGTCAATTAGAACCTGCTGCTTCTGTAATGAGGGTAAGGCCCCCTGAGATGCTCTCCTCACCCCATCATGCTGTGGGTCCCCCTTAAAGGTGCTCTTGGAATGTTTACCTATGGCCCCTCCTCCACCTAGCAAATGTGACCTGCAGGCATTTCCCCTTTTTATCAGCCACAGAATCATGGAGGCATGGCTGCCTCTTCTCCCATGGTTCTTCCCCTGTGGAAGGCAGGTCCTAGTGTGTGGTTTCTACCAGGCTCCACCCTCTTACCTTCAATTCCTGTACCCAGCACATCACAGGGACTCAGGAAATGCCTGTAACATCGGTGAGGGCCACTGTCTGCCACGACCAAGTCATTTTGTTACATGGTTAATTCTTTTTTGTTGTTTGATTTTATCTGTAGCAAACTGCTACTGGACTGGGCCTTCTGTACACAGAAACAGAGGACCTAGAGCAGCTGTTCTCAACCTTCCAGATGCTGGGACCCTTTAATACAGTTCCTCATGTTGTGGTGACCCCCAACCATAAATTATTTTCATTGCTACTTCATAACTGTAATTTTGCTACTGTTATGAATCATAATGTAAAATCTGTGTTTTCTAATGGTCTTAGGTGACCCCTGTGAGAGGGTCATTCCACCCCAAAGGGGTTATAACGCATAGGTTAAAAACTGCTGACCTACCAAAAAAAAAAAAAAGCCGGGCGGTGGTGGCGCACGCCTTTAATCCCAGCACTTGGGAGGCAGAGCCAGGCGGATCTCTGTGAGTTCGAGGCCAGCCTGGGCTACCAAGTGAGTTCCAGGAGAGGTGCAAAGCTACACAG